TTGTGGGGTAATTCCTGGGCTACCATACGCTCTAAAAGGCAATATAACCAATCTGGCAAATTTCTATGTAAAAAAAAAAGGTCTTATAGTTGACCCTGTAACTTTCAAAAAACTATAAAATCTGTTCGTGGGGGTACTGTTATACTTGTGAGACTTGGCTGAACACAAATATTAGTGTTTCAAAACAGTAAAACGCATTACAACAATATCATCAGTGAAAGTGCTGTTTGTGTATAAAAAAATGCAAATAAAAGTCACTTTTACTGATGATATCATCGCTGTGATATGTTTTACTGTTATGAAACACTAATATTTGTGTTCAGCGAAGTCTAGCGAGTAAAACAGTACCTCCCATGTGTTGGGTTGTCAGGCCATTTCCCCAAATTTCAATCAGTAAAATTACTTCATTATGTAAAAATATTCATACATATACACGTAGAATTTAAATATATATATACATATTTATATATTTGAAGTCTACATGTACATTTGTACAATTATGTATATGGACATATGTATATTTCATATTATTTTTATTTATTTATATATACATAGATATATATATCATTTAATTCTAAGTGTATTTTGATATTAAAATATATATATATATATATATATAAATAAATACACTTAGACTAAAATTACATATATTTTATTTTTAAATTTTATATTTATTTTTAATTATTTTTTATGATATTTATATATATATATATATATTTACACACACACACATATTTTTTACATTTATTAACTTTATTTTTATTACCAGCAAGGATACTACCTGCCAGTTCAGGCAGTACCCCTGCTGGCAGCACTATGGACACCTATGGCGGCCATGTGACCGCTCTTTGGGAACGTCTGCAGTCCTTAAGGACCGTTTTTTTGTCGGACGTACCTGATACGCCGTTGGTCGGGAAGGGGTTAAAGCTGGATATAGAAGTGGTAGAGAGCTACAGTAAGAGTATATGTAACCAATAGGCTGTGTTACTGATCTAAATAGCTACTTTTTCCTATTGCAACATTATTATTCTTTTTGCTATAACTATTGGTTACACGTACTCTTACCATAGCTCTCTATCACTTCTATATGAGATACTGATTTATATTCAGTTTGAAATGCCAGTGAGCTGCTCGCGGTTTAGGAAACATACCCCTACTACACGGGGGGACCTGCCTGCTCACTGTAAACAAACTGTAAATAAAAGTAGGGGCATTCAGGAGATTTTAATCTCTCTTATGCTAATATGGGGGACATATTGACCCTCATAGAATGACAGGTGTGGTAAATCTAAAGAGTATAATGGGAACTTTTACCCAGCAGAACTTTCCTACTAATTATTTAGGTCATCAATACCACACAGAAAACCTATGTCCATGTGACATTTCAGTTTTTTATTTTAATACTTTTTCAAAGTTTTCAAAAATCTTGTTTTTGATTTGTCATTATGGGATAATGTGTGTAGATTGATGTGAAAAATGTTTAAATAACTTAAACAACTGCACTGTATATACAATCTCCACATTTACCTATACACAAACTGGATCAAAGAGCGGAGTTGTTTTATGCGGTACTTTATTAGCGGTGATTTCATGCATTTGGAACGATCAGAGTCACTCTTGGATTCCAAGCTCTGGACACACAGAACTCCATACATTTTCAAGTCATTAATCCTTTAATAACCCATCACAAAGGGTTTATATACAGACTCCTCATGTGTGACAATCAAATGATTACACAGCTGGTTCTCAGGGAAACTCCAGCATGTTCGCAGAGAAAGATATTTCTGAGCCCCTTGTATTCAAGAAGGCATTCCATGCATGATGTGCAAGCAACAAAAATCAACTCATGGGAGACTCCTGAATCATCGATACCACAATGTGAGTTATTCACTGGAAGAGACCCACGAATGAGGGGCATGAAAATACAGATTACACTCTGCAATGGCTTCAATGGAAATCAAATGCGTTTTAAAATAAACTTCTTTAAATGAAATGTTGCTTGTGATTTAACCAATATTAATCTTTTTAACTAAAAATCTGCCATTTGTTATTATTTATGATAAAAGATTACATGTTATCTCAGTGGCGTCTCTAGGATTAATTTTTAGGGGGGGGGCACATGGTGGGCCAGGGACTAAAGTAGGGGGGCACATTTAACCCCGCCCTCACCCCAGTTTGACCCTGCCCCTGCCACTTGTTAAGCCCCGCCCCTGACACAATGTGTTTTTTTTTAAATAAAAACAAACACATTTCCCTTGATACAGTCCTTACACACACACAGACTGCTGACCATACACACACACACAGACTGCTGACCATACACACACACACCCAGACTGCTGACCATACACACACACACCCAGACTGCTGAGTTCATACACACAGACTGCTGAGTCCATACACACAGACTGCTGAGTCCATACACACACAAACACAGACTGCTGAGTCAATACACACACAAACACAGACTGCTGAGTTCATACACACACACAGACTGTTGAGTTCATACACACACAGACTGCTGAGTTCATACACACACAGACTGCTGAGTTCATACACACAGACTGCTGAGTCCATACACACACAAACACAGACTGCTGAGTCAATACATACACACACACAGACTGCTGAGTCCATACACACACACAGACTGCTGAGTCCACACACACACAGTGCTGAGTCCACACACACACAGTGCTGAGTCCACACACACACAGTGCTGAGTCCACACACACAGACAGACTGCTGAGTCCACACACACAGACAGACTGCTGAGTCCATACACACAGACTACTGAGTCCATACACACACACAGACTGCTGAGTCCATACACACACAGACTGCTGAGTCCATACACACACAGACTGCTGAATCCGTACACACAGACTGCTGAGTCCTGAGTCCGTACACACAGACAGACTGCTGAGTCCATACACACAGACAGACTGCTGAGTCCATACAGACAGACTGCTGAGTCCATACAGACAGACTGCTGAGTCCATACACACAGACTGCTGAGTCCATACACACAGACAGACTGCTGAGTCCATACACACAGACAGACTGCTGAGTCCATACACACAGACAGACTGCTGAGTCCATACACACAGACAAACTGCTGAGTCCATACACAGACTGCTGAATCCATACACACACACATACAGACTGCTGAGTCCATACACAAAGACAGACTGCTGAGTCCATACACACAGACAGACTGCTGAGTCCATACACACACAGTGCTGAGTCCACACACACATACAGACTGCTGAGTCCACACACACACACAGACTGCTGAGTCCACACACACACACAGACTGCTGAGTCCACACACAGACGCTGAGCCACACACACACAGACTAAGCTGAGTCCACACACACACACACACACACACACACACACACAAACTGCTGAGTCCATACACACATACACACACACACAGACTGCTGAGTCCATACACACAGACAGACTGCTGAGTCCATTAACACACACAGCGCTGAGTCCATACACACATACAGACTGCTTAGTCCATACACACACACTGCTGAGTCCATACACACAGACAGACTGCTGAGTCCATACACACAGACAGACTGCTGAGTCCATACACACAGACAGACTGCTGAGTCCATACACACAGACAGACTGCTGAGTCCATACACACATACAGACTGTTGAGTCCATACACACATACACACACACAAACACAGACTGCTGAGTCCATACACACACACAAGCTTCCACACTAGCAGACAGACACACACACACCTGAGCATATCAAGCCTACCTGTTGCTGGGGGTCAGACAGCCATCTTTTTGCCTTTCCAGCAGCAGCATGATCTGCTCCCTCCGGCCACAGACAGCTCCCAGCACCGTTCCAGCTGAGCTACTCTGCCCTGCATTCCCTCCCCCGGGCTGTCACACACTGTTACAGTCCGAGGGAAAAGAATGTAAGAACATGGCCTGCAAGTTGCTGGCATTTGTGGGGACCCGGGGGGGCACAACACGATGTAGGGGGGGCGATGGCCCCCTCTGCCCCCCAGTGACCCCACTGTATTATCTTATTATAGCATCTGTCATTCACACATAAATTGCTACATGACGGCGGACATCTTTAAGTCCCCTTTGGACAGAAGCAAAACATATATAATCTAAGACCATACAGGCAAAAGTGAGGTGCGCACAAATTCATGAGTCCTAGTATCATAAGCAAATGCTTGGCTCTTGCTTACTCAAGCAAGCGGATTCTAAGTTGCACTTTGGTCTATCCTGCCATGGCACCCTGCTTCAGTGAAGGTGGAAGTGCCAATTACCCAATTGGCTCAACACAGCCAGTCACCTCCTTCACATTCCTTTGAGTTACAGGGGTCGCCAGAGCACCTCATCTAAATGATTGGGGGCTGCAGGTGGCGGTTTTGTTTTGTTCCCATCTTCCTAACATGTTCTCCCAGCCGCAGGTCACTCGCAGTACTGTTCAGGGACGTATTAGCCGCGAGGCAAACAAGGCATTTGCCTTGGGCGGCATTTTTCAGGGGGCGGCAAAAAACGCCGCCCCCCAAATGCCCAGGGCAAATGCCTTGTTAGCCTCGCGGCTAACTGACATCCCGGGCAGGTGGCTGGCGAGGGAGCTCTTCCTATGAGCTGACTGCTCAGCTCCCTCGCGCACCGCAGAGTGAAGCTGGGAGCCGGAAGATGACGTCATCTTCCGGCTCCCAGCCTCACTCTGCAGCCGCGCGCGAGGGAGCTGAGCAGTCAGCTCATAGGAAGTGCTCCCTCGCCAGCCGCCCGCCTGCCAGCGCCGCCCGCCCTGCAGCCACTGGACCACCAGGGAGAGAGACCCCCCCCCAGCACTCCTAAAGGTAAGGAGGTTGGGGGGGAGATTTAAATAAAAAAAAAAGTTAATGTGTGTGTATGTGTCTGACTGTGTGTGTGTTTGTGTCTGACTGTGTATGTGTGTGTGTGTGTCTGACTGTGTGTGTGTGTGTTTGTGTCTGACTGTGTGGAGGTCTTTTGGAAATATTTGGAGCCCATCCTGAATAGTGATAGGCCAGGATCCAAACTCTCTGAGGTGGCAAGACTGCAATGCTCAATAAAGGAACATGTCTGCCTTCCTGACTCAATTGAAGGTGATCTGGAGGTCAGTACAAGGACAGTGGATTGAGACATTACCTCTGATTTATTGGATTAAGCATTAGAAAGGATCGACAGAGTACTAGATATACTCAATGGGGGCTGAGTACCGTTATGGCAACTTCGCAGAGCTGTAATATTCTCAGCTCCTCCAATATCAGCTGCTGTGGAGCAGTTACATTGTAATGTCTGTATCCCTTTAGTGTAAAATATATTGGGGGGGTTGGTTAATTGCCCCCCTCCAGTGTAAGCTGCTGTGTTCCCTGAGTATTCTACAGACAGCAGTTACATTGTAATGTCCATATCCTTTTAGTGTAAAAGATATTGGGGGGGGGGTTAATAGCCCCCTCCAGTGTGAGCTGCTGTGTTCCCTGAGTATTCTACAGACAGCAGTTACATTGTAATGTCCGTATCCCTTTAGTGTAAAAGATATTGGGGAGGATTGGGGGAGGGGCAGGGGGATACAGAATTAATATATCTTTTGTTTTTTTGTTTTTATGTGTTTTTACCCCTACCCCTCACAGCACAGCACCCCTACCTCCAACACAGCACCCCTATCCCCACAGCACAGCACCCCTACCACCCACAGCATAGCACCCCCAACACAGCACAGCACCCCTACCCCCAACACAGCACAGCACCCCTACCACCCACAGCACAGCACCCCTACCCCCAACACAGCACAGCACCCCTACCCCAACCTGGTTGTACCCCCACCCCCAGCACAGCTTCCAGCACCCCTACCCTAACTACAGCACAGCACCCTACCCCAACACAGCAGTCTGTGTGTACTCAGCTTAGTCTGTGTGTGTGTGTGTGTGTGTATGTTCAACTTGGTCTGTGTGTGTGTGTATGTATTCAGCAGACTGTGTGTATTCAGCAGTGTATGTATTCAGCAGACTGTGTGTGTATTCAGCAGTGTATGTACTCAGCAGTCTGTGTGTACTCAGCCATCTGTATGTATGTGTATTCAGCGGTCTGTGTGTATTTAGCAGACTGACTGTGTGTGTATTTAGCGGTCCGTGTGTGTGTGTGTATTTAGCGGACCGTGTGTGTATTTAGCAGACTGTGTGTGTGTGTGTATTTAGCAGACCGTGTGTGTATTTAGCAGACCTACTGTGTGTGTATTTAGCGGACCGTGTGTGTATTTAGCGGACCGTGTGTGTATTTAGCGGACCGTGTGTGTATTTAGCGGACTGTGTGTGTGTGTGTGTATTTAGCGGATGGTGTTTATGTATTTAGCAGCCGGTGTGTGAATGTGTTCAGCAGTCTGTGTGTATGTATTGCATTTGTTGGAGATACTAATAAATATAAGCTGAATTTTATCTATTTATATCATTATTTAAAATTTGTATCATTGAACTCTCTGTTGTGTTCTTCTTTTAAAACAAAAGTTGTTAATTAGTTCGGACAACTGTAAAAGTTGTTTTTTCTAAACTTAAATCTCAGTATTCAGGTTTAATTGCCGTGTTGGCACTTTGAGGGAAAAAAAGTTGTCATGTATTGCGGTTTGGGCACTCGGGCTCAAAAAGGTTCGCCATCACTGCTTTAGTGTAAAAGATATTGGGGGGTTTTGTTAATTGCCCCCCCCTCCAGTGTGAGCTGCTGTGTTCCCTGAGTATTCTACAGACAGCAGTTACATTGTAATGTACATATCCCTTTAGTGTAAAAGATATTGGGGGGTTTGTTAATTGCCCCATCCACTGTGAGCGGCTGTGTTCCCTGAGTATTCTACAGACATTGTAATGTCGGTATCCCTTTAGTGTAAAAGATATTGGGGGGGAGTATGTGGGAGGTTGGTTAATTGCCCCCCTCCAGTGTGTGCTGCTGAGTTCCCTGTGTATTCTACAGACAGCAGTTACATTGTAATGTTCCTATACCTTTAGTGTAAAAGATATTGGGGGGTTTGGTTAATTGCCCCCTCCAGTGTGAGCTGCTGTGTTCCCTGAGTATGCTGCAGACAGCAATTACATTGTAATGTCCGTATCCCTTTACTGTAAAAGATATTGGGGGGAGAGGGGGTTGGTTAATTGCCCCCTCCAGTGCGAGCTGCTGTGTTCCCTGAGTATTCTGCAGACAGCAGTTACATTGTAATGTCCATATCCCTTTACTGTAAAAGATATTGGGGGGAGAGGGGTTTGGTTAATTGCCCCCCTCCAGAGTGAGCTGCTGAGTTCCCTGAGTATTCTACAGACAGCAGTTACATTGTAATGTCTGTATCCCTTTAGTGTAGAAGATATTGAGGCGGTTGGTTAATTGCCCCACTCCAGTGTGAGCTGCTGTGTTCCCTGAGTATTCTACAGACAGCAGTTACATTGTAATGTCTGTATCCCTTTAGTGTAAAAGATATTGAGGCGGTTGGTTAATTGCCCCACTCCAGTGTGAGCGGCTGTGTTCCCTGAGTATTCTACAGACAGCAGTTACATTGTAATGTCTGTATCCCTTTAGTGTAAAAGATATTGAGGCGGTTGGTTAATTGCCCCACTCCAGTGTGAGCGGCTGTGTTCCCTGAGTATTCTACAGACAGCAGTTACATTGTAATGTCTGTATCCCTTTATTGTAAAAGATATTGGGGGGAGAGGGGTTTGGTTAATTGCCCCCCTCCAGTGTGAGCGGCTGTGTTCCCTGAGTATTCTACAGACAGCAGTTACATTGTAATGTCTGTATCCCTTTAGTGTAAAAGATATTAGCAGGGCGGTTGGTTAATTGCCCCACTCAGGTGTGAGCTGCTGTGTTCCCTATGGTATTCTACAGACGCTTGATTTACATTGGCAATGTCTGTATCCTTTAGTGTAAAGATATTGAGGCGGTTGGTTAATTGCCCCACTCCCAGTGTGAACTGGCTACTGTGATTCCCTGAGTATTCTACAGACAGCTTGGTTGGTCTGTCTAACTTCTATTTTGGATCAGTGGCAGCAACCTGATATGCTTGGATGAGGGCGCGACCTTCACTCACTGACAATATTGAGGGCCCCGGTTCTGGGATAAATACCTATAGAAACCACAGTTGCACCAAATACCTATACTCCACATGGCATAGCAAAGTACAGGATTCACCCTTCCAAACCCTGTGATATACTCAGTAACATCTAGCAACCATTTACCTGGTGGATAGAGCGACTACCAAACACAAAGGGTGGGAGGAAGGGGCCACCATTTTACACAGAGGGTGGGAGAAGGAGGCCGCCATTTACACACAGAGGGTGGGAGAAGGGGCATGTTTACACAGAGGTGGGAGAAGGGGACATACATTTGCACAGAGGGGTGGGAGGGAGCCGCCATTTACAGAGGGTGGGAGAGGGGCAGCCATTTACACAGAGGGGGTGGGGAGGAAGGGGGGGCCATTTTACACAAAGGGTGGGAGAAGGGGAGCCACCATTTACACAGAGGGTGGGAGAAGGGGAGCCGCCATTTACACAGAGGGTGGGAGAAGGGGAGCCGTCATTTACACAGAGGGTGGGAGAAGGGGAGCCGCCATTTACACAGAGGGTGGGAGAAGGGGAGCCGCCATTTACACAGAGGGTGGGAGAAGGGGAGCCGCCATTTACACAGAGACTCGGATGGGCAGAGAGAGTGGTTTCACTGTAGGGTGTAAGTCAGTGCTGGAGCAAAGTGAATGGTTAATGGGACTTTATGGACTACATGTAGGAATGTTATTGGGAGAAAAGAGTTTAATAGGGAAGAAAGTCTTAAAGGGTTATTTACTAAAGTGACAATTCAAGGCGCATACAAAGTCCGTTTCAAATATAACTCAAAATAGCTGAACTTGAAAAATTCTTAATGTCCGCTATGCTTTCCATTCAGCTACTCTGACCTTCAATTTGAAATTAATTTAATTTAGTGACGAACGCTCTCTGTTTCTCACTTTGTAAAGGTACAACGTCAGTTCTGCTCTGTGTCGTCAGGAAACGGGCGGATTAGCCATGCATTCTGCATTATGGTTTAACGATGACAAACATTTACTCACCCATTCCTTTAGTATGTAACCGTCCGTCTTGTTTTGTCTCCCATAGCTGACACACGCTACGGAAGTGTTTGAAAGAGTCGCATGTCTGATGTATGACTGCCTGGACTGGAGACGCCAACATCAGCTCTACCTGAACAGCATGAAGATC